CTTCCTCATCCATCCAAGTACCTGGATCGCGAACCTTCTCATTCATTCGGGAGCAGATAACAGTCTACTATAGGTAACACCACAGAAACCGAAGATCCAAGAATTATGCAACATGTGACCGTTGGTAATGATAACTTATTCTTTTTTATCTATTCCTTTAAAGTCGCAAAAATTCCCATTAGATAATTCAGAACAATATTTGGCGAGTGCACACTTCCGGTAAATTCTCGGCAGACCATACATTTACAGGGAAGGTTTAAATTTAAACAATCGATAGATCGTCTTTCCTTACAAGCGGGAACCAACCAGACCGCGGAAAGATGCAGGCAGCTACGTAACCGTCGGCCATGCCAAGTTAGGGGCTTGCAGGAGGTTCTTTCGCGCGCAAGAGTCGGTGCCTATCCAGCAGAATACGGGAACACTTCCCGGCATGACTAGCCAAACGTGAAACCAAAAGCATCAACAGTTCTATCTTTGCACACATGGTTGACTTCGAACATCGTGTGGACCCCAGCTTTGTTTGGTCACTGAGTTTTATTTATTTATTTTATTATTTTAATTTTTTCAATCAGCGCATGCTTTTTTGCCCCTCTCGTATAACCACTATTCCCACGGGTCCCATCTTACAGAGTTCTGAGGTTTTTGGTTTCCGCGGTGTTGCTTATATTAGATTGTTACCCATTATTGGTTCATAAAAGGCAGTAATGTAGCAAAACGTTTTCAGATATAAATTCAGCGTATCACGTCCCCCCCTGCAAAAACACAAATTTGAAGAGTATGCACAAAAACAAAGCTTGTATAGCGATCATACTCTCACCTACCCGGGACTGTCTACTACAAGTATGCAAATCATTACGGTACATATATCAACCATCCGCAACGTCGCAATTACATTTCTTTTCATCAGATAAGACCACCTTCTGTCGCAGACCTGTTCGGATGATACGATTTTCAGCTCAACGTATGTGCTGTTTCTTGTAGCATTGCCTCAAATACGGTATTCGCCTAGGCCACCAATTAGCGAATAGCAATGAAGAAGATATGCTCCTGCAAATTTTCAGTCTTCGAACACTTCAGAGTCCAATCCAGCTCGAAGATACTACATCTGATACTGCACCTTTCGATTAAAGTACATAGATGCCTCTCCTCGGTCTTGCAATTTCTCTATCACTAAGATGTACTGCAGACAACGCTTTGCTAAAACATCATCACTCGCATTGTTTCAAACACTCATCAACAACGAAAAGTGAATCCACTTCGCAGTCTTAAGGATCGATCAAGTTGCTAATTTATTCACCGAATTTCCATCACCCTGCCTGTAGGTCATGGCAAGCAGTTCAACCTAATCCGGACTTGAACGGACACCGTTACATTAAGTGACCACATACATTAGACGTGCTTGAAATACCAACCGAAATTCTGAAATAAATATCTGGGTATGGCTGAAATAGCTATCGTGCAGCTTAATCCCAAGATATGGCACTCACTTCAGGATGCCAGTTTTTGAATAATTTTCTTTCCGGCAGCCTATGAAAACTAAGCTCTGCGAAAAAATGACTATTCAAGTAGTAGGCCTTTCCAATCTATTTAAGACAACGTTAGCGATTCAAATAGGTTTCACAGAAGACATGCTCAAAGTATTCTTTTTTGTACTTTTTCGGTAGCAAACCGGGTCATCGAAATTTATGCATACAGAATGTGCACAGTTCGGTTTTAAAATGTCTCGATTCCCGAGTAATTTTGAACTTGAACCACCGTTACACCCGCATTCAGGGACTCCCAACTACAAGCTGTGTATATTTTCCGTTTAGGGAAAATTGTAAATTTCTAAAGGCTATGGAAAAGATTTTGTATAGGCCTCCTACAACCTTGCAGTGGATTTTGACCAGGTTTTATACCCTACAATCGGCGTTAATGAATGGGTAGACACGATGCTTTGAAATGGACTTTAAGTGGGTTTTTAAACCGAAAACTACCCCTTTTTCAAGTTTTGAAAAAGGCGTAATTTGCAACCAAATGAATACACGGAAAATACTTTTACGCATGTTTTCTATAAAATATGCATGAATTTACAATGGCGTCGAAAATCAATGGGAAAATGCGCTCTTTTTAACTATCCATGTTTACAGTCAATCTGAAAGAAGCTCGTTCAAAGGCCGGTAGATGACGTGAATAAAGATGTCTGGGCAGTACGCTCTACGAGAAGAAAGGTTGTACCCTCTAGTGAAGTAAGCCTTTCTAATCGAAAAGACATCCTAGCGAATGAATGAGAACGTTCGAGTTCCAGGTATTTGCATGTTCGAAGAAGAAGGAAGGTCGATCACCGGATCAAATTGTTTCGGAAATTTTTCGGAAATGTCATCGCCGAGAATCTCGGAAAAACGATCTTAGCTTTGACACGCAATCTGCAGGCCAAGAAAAGGGAGGCTCTGGAGCGAAAACTGAATAATTTGAAACCCACAGACACTAAAAACGCTGACGTGGTCCACAACCTCTCGTCCAAACAACTAACAGAACAACAATTACACGTACTACGGCATGAAGCCTGCTTTAACACCGCAGATGCCGACCCAGTTGACTTCATTGCTGCAGTAGAAGCGATGCTGGTTAGAACTGAAGCAACTGATGACACGAAACACTCAATCCGACAAAGTGTGACTTCCTTGCTGATGGCTCACAACCCAACCCGATGCATTTCGCATAGCGAGTCAAAAGCCATGAAGGAATTGCGGAAGGACACCAGTATTATCATCTTACCTGCCGATAAGGGGTGGTCAACTGTCATGATGAATCGACAAGACTACAATGACAAGGCTAAAACTCCTCTTGACGACAGAGTTTTACAGACCAGCCCAGAACTCGCAAACCAAAGCAATATCCAACCAGTTGACTAAACTACTCAAAGAATACCGGCAGAAGAATGTGATAACGATGAACGAGTGGCGCGCAATGAGCGTAACGGATACCGCTCTGGCCCGATTCTACGGACTGCCAAAAATTCACAAA